TCTTACCTCGACGCTGGCAACCACAGGGGGGCGGGGAACCCGAGGCCGCCTGGTATAGCAGCCGTTTCGCTTTAGCTTTCTCAACGCTTTGTTCATGAACCGTGGTCTCGCTTCATTGCTGGCCCCATCTTTTGTCTGGACAGGCACGGTCTCGCAGGTCGTACAGGCCGCACAGATCCCAAAGGTCTCACAGGTCTCACAGATCCCACAGATCCCACAGGTTCCACAAGTCCCACATGTCCCAGAGGTCTCCCAGGTCCCACGCCAACAGGTCCCACGGGTCTCGCAGGTCTCGCAGGTCCCACAGGCCTTACAAGTCCCACATGCTACACAGGCCGCCCATGCCCACAGGTGCCACACATCCCACAGGTCCGACAGTCCCGCAAGTCGTACAGGCCGCACAGGTCCCTCCAGGTCCCACGGGTCCCACAGGGACCACATGTCCCACAGGTTCCACAAATCCCCCACACACAGGTCCCACGGGTCTCGCAGGTCTCGCAGGTCCCACAGGTCACATAGTCTCGCAGGTCCTACAGATTCCACAGGTGTCGCAGGTCCCACATGCCCCACAGGCAGGCCTCACACAGCCTCCACAGATGCCAAACATCCCACAGGTCCCACAGGCCCCATAGGCCCTGCAAGTCGTACAGGCCGCACAGGTCCCAAAGGTCCCACGGGTACCACAGGTACCACATGTCCCATAGGTTCTACAGGTCCCACACTCACAGGTCCCACGGGTCTCGCAGGTCTCGCAGGTCTCGCAGGTCCCACAAGTCCTACAGGATCTACCGGTCCCACATTCCCGCGGGTCCCACGGATCCCACAGGTGTCGCAGGCCCCACACGCCCCACGGGCCCCACAGCCTCCACAGATGCCAAACATCCCATAGGTCCCACAGGTCCCGCAGGTCGTATAGGCCGCACAGATTCCAAAGGTCCCACAGGTCCCAAAGGTCCCACAGGTATCACATGTCCCACAGGTACATACCACCACAGGCTCCACGGGTCCCACGGGTATCGCAGGTATTGCAGGCTCCACAGTTTCCGCAGGTCACACAGGTCCCCCGGGTCCCACAGGTCCCGCCGGTGTCGCAGATCTCACAGGTCCCGCAGGCCACAGAGGTCCTCCAGGTCCCAAGGGTCCAACAGTTCCCACAGGTCCCACAGGTTTCACAAGTCCACAGTTCGCACCTGCTCCACGGGTCTCGCAGGTTTCACAGGTTCCACATGCGACAGAGGTCTCGCAGTTCCCACACACAGGTCGTGCAAATTCCATAATTCCCTCCTGGCCTACAGATCTCGCAGGTTTCACAGGTTCCAAATGCGACAGAGATCCCACATGTCCCGCAGGTCCAACAGGTCCCACTTGTAACAGTGTTTTGAGACGGGTGGTGCTCCGTCAGATGTTAGTCGTCGTCGTTGTCGTCGGGGGTAACGCGTGTGATTGGCCGACGTGGGGGCCGCCACTGAACCATTTTGAGCCGATGTCACCGATCGGTGATGCCCAGCAGCCAAGTCTCAATCAGCGAGCTCGTCTCAGAGTGAGCGAGGGTGCGAAGTTTGAGACTGCTGCCGCGAGCGAATCTGAATCCTTCTCCTCTTCCTAACGGAGCTGAGGCTTGACGTCAGCCCACATCCAAATGCAAAACAACAGATCCTCCCCCTCCTCCCCCCCATGTTCCCACGCTCGCTCCGATTTTCCCTCGGGAGCGGCGGGGCTGGTAGATACCACTCTGTGGGGGGGGCGGCGACGGGTCGTCATCGTCGTCGTCGTCGTCGTCGGTGTCCGTAACGACAATGGCGACGACGATGACAGCGGCGGGGCCATTACCGCGCGGGGCGCCCGCCGCACCCGCCGCAGCGGATCCGCCGTGGCGACAAGAAGCCTTCATGAAGCCCGAGAAGGACGAAAATTACCCTGGCGACGTACTCAACCCCTGCGCAATGCGGGGCATGAGTAGCTTGGGAGACGTTGTACGGAGATGATGACGTGACATGGGCGCATATACTTCTGCGAGCGGCATTCGTGAGGCTCGCAGCCTCCCACGGATTGCGAGATCCCGCTCAGGTCTTCGTGGTGCCTCACTCCGCTGGACCCGTCACCAGCCTTCGGAAGTAGCGACGGTTTCGCAGATCGCAGCCCCCCAAGGACGGCGAGGTCCCGCTCAGATCTGCGCGGTGCCTCATTCCGCTGGACCCGCCAACAGCCCTTGATAGCGGCGACGGTTTCGCAGATCGCAGCCCCCCAGGGACGGCGAGGTCCCGCTCAAGGTCTGCGCGGTGCCTCACTCCGCTGGACCCACCAGTAGCTCTCGAAATTGGCGACAGTGTCGCAGATCGCATTGCCCAGACGTGCGTTTTCTGAGAATAGATGTGCCCACGGCCTGCTGCTGGCTGCCCTCCCCCCTCTCCTCCTCCTCCTCCTCCTCCTCCTCCTCCTCCTCCTCCTCCTCCTCCTCCTCCTCCTGCCCTTTTTAGCCGGCAGGGTCTCTTTGACTGAAGACTTGCACACCAGAGGATTTATTAACCGCATTTCCCCGCGTGTGCGTGCTGATTCATTAATTCTCCGACTTGCTCAACGCACGGTCTGCCCTCTAGGGGACCGCTCCCCTTGCCAGAGTTGGCGCGCAGACCGCCATGCCATCCATGCCATGCCATATGTCTTCTGAGAGTTTATGTATCAGAACTGCTGAATTCAATCCCGTGCTGTTTAGCCGATGCGCCGTGCGGCGCGGCTCCACTGACTGTCGCAGATCGCTATACTGGCCCCCCAAGCAGCCCTCGAAAGTGGCGACAGTGTAGCAGATCGCAGCCCCCCAGGGATGGCGAGGTCTAATTTGGATCTGCGGCGGCTACCCGCTACAGCTGGCCCCCCAAGCAGCCCTCGAACATGGGGACAGTTTCGCGAATCGCAGCCCCCAGGGATGGCGAGGTCTACTTTGGATCTGCGGCGGCTACCTACTATGCTGGCCCCCCCAAGGAGCCCTCGAAAGTGGCGACAGTTTCGCCAATCGCAGCCCCCCAAGGGATTGCGAGTCTAATTTGAATCTGCGGCGGCTGCCCACAATGCTGGCTCCCCAGGCAGTCGACAGTGGCGACAGTTTCGCCAATCGCGGCCCCCCCAGGGATGGCGAGGTCTACTTTGGATCTGCGGCGGCTGCCCACAATGCTGGCTCCCCAGGCAGCCCCCGAAAGTGGCGACAATTTCGCAAATCGTAGCCCCCCAGGGACGGCGAGGTCCCGCTCAGGTTTGCGCGGTGCCTCACCCCGCTGGACCCACCAGCAGGCCCCGAAAGTGGCGACAGTGTGGCAGATCGCAGCCCCCCAGGGACGGCGAGGTCCCGCTCAGGTCTGCGCGGTGCCTCACCCGCTGGACCCACCAGCAGCCCTCGAAAGTGGCGACAGTGTGGCAGATCGCAGCCCCCCAGGGACGGCGAGGTCCCGCTCAGGTCTGCGCGGTGCCTCACCCCGCTGGACCCACCAGCAGCCCTCGAAAGTGGCGACAGTATGGCAGATCGCAGCCCCCCAGGGACGGCGAGGTCTCGCTCAGGTCTGTGCGGTGCCTCACTCCGCTGGACTCACCAGCAGGCCTCGAAAGTGGCGACGGTTTCGCAGATCGCAGCCTCACAGGGACGGCGAAGTCTTGCTCAGGTCTGCGCGGTGACCCGGTGGGCACCCCGCTGGACCCACCAGCAGCCCTCGAAAGTGGCGACAGCGGCGTAGTTCGCTGCCCCCCAGGAACGGCGAGGTCCTAGACAGGTACCGCAGACAAAAAGAGGGATGGAGAGAGAGAGAGAGAGAGAGAGAGAGAGAGAGGGAGAGAGAGAGCGAGAGAGAGAGAGAGAGAGAGCGAGAGAGAGAGAGGGAGAAATAAAGAAGCAGAGACAGAGAGAGAGAGAGAGAGAAAACGAGAGAAAGAGAGCAATAAAGAAAGAGAGAAACACACACATAGAGAGAGAGAGAGAGAGAGAAACAAACATATAAAGGAATCTATATAGATAGATAGAGAGAGAGAGAGAGAGAGAGAGAGAGAAAGAGAAAGCTGCGAGAGGCAGGAGGCGGGAGGCGGAGGAGAAGGAGACGCGACTGCAGTGTTCTATTCAAAACGCATACCCAACCAAGGAGGGTTGGGTAAGAAGCGCCAGGAATGGCTGCCGTTGTCTTGACTGGCCTACCTTCGACCTCTCCGTCTCCTTTATCAACCGACGGTAGCACACCAGTCTACTCGGGAATGTACTGGAAAGCGATACGATTGATCATCTTGGCGAGAGACGTAACCTTTTGCCTGACTCAGGGGCCCCTTGATCATAAACGGCAGTAGTCAACAGCACACTGAATGCACTGCTTCGCGACGCACACACACACACACCTGTGCTGAACAGCACGCGCAGAGACTGCACAGAAGCGCGCACAGGTAATTCACATCAACGCCTCTTGAGCTTCGCACCGAGAAAGCACCGCTCCATCCGTTTGTGTGCTGTCGGGGGCGGGGCGCCCGCCGCACCCGCCGCAGCTGATGGACCACCCGAAGATCCTGCAGGGCCTGCTCGTGCAGGCGGCCCAGCTGTACCGGGAAGGCCCGCCCCGCCCGTTCTCGGGGCTCACGGGGCGGGGATCGCCACAAACGGGGGTCAGTCAGAGCGCCGGAGCTTGCAGGATCTTGCAGAGCCTGGAGTGAATTGACCTGGGCTTGTGTGCAGGATCTTGCAGGATCCTGCAGAATCTTGTTGGATGTTGCAGGATCCTGCATGGCCCGACTGACCCAGGTTTGGGTTGACCCAGGTCAGTGTGTCCCCGACTTTCGCTGCGTGGGGGGGTCCGCAGTGTCCGGGTGCCTCGCACGCAGTCCGCCCCCCTTCCCTCTTTCCCCCCCTCCCTCCCTCCCCCCCCTCCCTCTCTCTGCCCCCCCCCTCCCTGTCTCCCTCCTCCCTGCCCTCCTCCCTCGAGCTTCGAGCTGGATGCGGTTTTGGTTTTCGACTCTCGACAGCAGGCTCCACCTATCCAGAGTGAGAGGACACCTCAACAATTACCCAACATGAATACTTCTCTCCCTCTTCCCCTGATGACGGCTTGAAAATATCCGACCCCCCCCCCGCACTGTTTTTTTACACACAGGTTTCCCCGGAGTTGGGTTTTCGCTTGCATTTTTTTCCAAAATGCTGCTCTCGCTGAGGCGCCGGCCTCATTTTCGGGCCCCGCTCGTTCCGAATCGTGCTCCCGCTGCAGCGCTGGCATAATTTCCGCCAGCGCCCGGGCTGCACGCTCGAGCTGGCGCCCGGGCCGGCGCTCGGGCCGGGTCCGGAGCCGGTTCCGGCCGCCGCCGGAAAATCGAGTTCCGAGGCGGCGCCGAAAAAAAGGCCGTTTTAATATACATTTTTCTTTTGAAAATGATGAATTTTTGCTTCCGGCGCCCGGGAGGCCTCCCGGGCCGATTCCGACGCCCGGGCCGGCGCCCGAGCCGGCGCCCGGGCCAGACGCCCGAGCCGGCGCCCGGGCCGGCGCCCGGGCCGGATCCGGAGCCGGTTCCGGCCGGCGCTGGAGAATCGAGTTCCAAGGCGGCGCCGAAAAAACGCCATTCCAATACACATTTTTCTTTTGAAAATGCTGAATTTCTGCTTCTGGCGCCCGAGAAGCCTCCCGGGCCGATTCTGGCGTGCTTCCGCTCGTTCCGAATCGTGCTCCCGCTGCAGCGCTGGCCTCATTTCCGCGCTTCCGCTCGTTTCGACTCGTGCTCCCGCTGCAGCGCTGGCGTCATTTCCCGTGCCATGCCACGGCATGCAATGCAATGCTAGGTTGATACTACGCTTCGCGGCGCTCTTCTACGCCATGCCATGCCGTGCTCTACAATGCATCCCGTACCCTTTCGGGATCATTGCCCTGCTCGACATCCGACTGTGCGAGTAGAGAGGGATCTGCGCCATGGTAAGGGATGGGAGGGAGGGGTATGATGTCAGATATGACGCGAGCGCACCTAGCTTGGCAACACCCTGTCCTCCTTTCCCCTGCTCCTCCTCCTCCTCCTCCTCCTCCTCATCATCATCATCATCATATTCCTTTCTCCTGCTCCTTATCGTCCTCCTCTTCCTCCTCCTCTTTCCTCCTCTCTCCTTCTCTCTCCTCTCTCCTCCTCCTCCTCCTCGTCCTCCTCCTCCTTTCTTCTCTACTCCTCCTCCTCATCCTGCTCATCCTCCCAATCCTCCTCCTCCTCCTCCTCCTCCTTCTCTACTCCTTCTCCTCCTCATCCTCCTCATCCTCCCAATCCTCCTCATCCTCCTCCTCCTTATCCTCCTCACTAGCCCGGCTGAGGACGGCGTCGTGAACGAAGTGTGAAAGAGTTTCCCGTACTGGTTTCTAGTGGAGTTGTAGTTGATTTTCACGGCCACGGGGGATTTTGGAAGTTGCCCGAACTCGTGGGCATCCCCTAAAGAGTATGTATATTATAATATGGAGACTATCGCTGGGTCGCCAAATCGCCTACATTACAGAAGTGGTACATGAAAAGCGTCATGTCTGCAGCGAAGCGGTCAGCTCTTAGCAGCACGCGTCTTCGATGGTTCGGGTTTGCCGCTGATCGGTGGACAGGTCATCTCGTCGACCTCGTCCGTAGGCTCTTGGGAATTTCGGACAAGTTCAAGGGGCACGGGGTCGTCATCGCGTCCCTGGACATCACACTCGCTTTCGATTCGATTCTGCATCACATCGTCCTGGAATCCTTGAGGCACCTTCGGATCCCGAGTCCGATCACCACCGCAATCATGCAGGAGCTGGCGGATCTGAGTGCAGAGATGCATGTGGAAGCAATCGGGAGGAGCGATCCTTTCGAGTATTACCGGGGCCAAAGACAGGGCGGGGTGGAAACACCAGAGTTGTCCGACATTATCAGAATATACATGTTCACAACACTCGTACACAAATGGGAGGCGGAGGGACGGGGGATCAACATCGCATCTGTATTCATATGTCTTTCGGTTTGGGCGGACGATTTTTTATTTTGTGCGCGCCGAGCTTGGAGGCGATGCCTGTGCAAATCCACGAGCTGCAGACCGTTCTCGCCAAGTCTGGCTTTGAGCTGAAATTGGAGGAATGTAACATGCTTTTTTTTGCGGTTTGGGTAATCCGTCCAGCCCTTCTTACCTGGAAGTCTCCGCGGAGGGCAGAACCATCCAGTTCCCGATCGTTGATGACATTGAAATTCTAGGTATCTTGTTGGACAGGAGAGGTGACACCAAGGCATCGTGGACACACAGGGCAAGTAAAACTGATAAGAAGATCGGGACCATCACTGGCCGTAGCATGAACAAACATGCTAGTTGGAAGTCTAAGTTCAAAGTTTTCTCCGTTGGGCCGCCTACTTCTTCTACATCTGATTATATGAGTTGGTCTCTTGGCCGCAAGCTTCTTGGATCTATGAAGGGATGGGAGGGATACCATTTTAGACGAGTTTCGGGGCTCCGGTTCTGCAGCCCCATGGAAGGCATCACGGCGTACAAATACAAGAACAAGATATCGGAGTTGATCGCAGAAACATCAAAGTTGCGGGTTTTGGGCCAGGTGCACCATAAGGCTTTGAAGGCCCAGCATACATAGAGGTATGAGTCTATGTTTTGTGGGCGGTGGATGGGGATGGCATGCAACAGCATACACTTCGTGTTCTAGCAGATTATCGTCGGGATGGGGCGTGGGAGGTGGGTAGGATGGAAGCTCTCGTTCTGGAGGGGTGCATCTCGATCGCGATGGGGAGTATCAGTATCGTCGTGGAGGGCCGTGTTCGATGAATCTGGAAGATTTCTTGAACAGTATGCAGCCAGAGTGGCGGTAAGCAGTCATGCAACCACGACAACAATGGCAAGCAAGCCAGGACAGATTTGTGTCGAAAATATGTTCAGCATTGAGGCTCACGCTCAAAATGCGACATGGCGCCAGCACGTCAGAAGTGGCGCCACCATCGTCACAGAAGAGACCAAGAAGAGGTGAGGAGCCAGCGCCGAAGACAAAGAAGGGTAGGAATACATCATCCGCATTCTCCTTCTTCTCCTCCTTCCTTCTGCTCCTTCCTTCTGCTCCTGCTTCGCCCCTTCCGCCCTCCACCCCGCCTCTTCCCAGTGAAACGGTCGTCGGTTTTTTCGATGTGCGCGGGTCTATTTTCTTCGATTTCGATCCCGAGCTCTTGCCTACAGATCTGGCGTGGGAGAGTGGAGAAAATCTCTTTCAGAGCGTAGCGGACAACAAATTCGTTGCTGGTGCGTTGGCCGGACGGTATGTCGTACCCCCGCGAGTGATAGATATGGTGGAAGCCGTGTCTAAATTGATCCTCGGTCCCATTTTGGACCAGAAATGGCGGCTGCCCACAGAAATCGACGAGCCGGTAGAGTGGAGAAGACGGTGCTTCAACAAAGAGGCGGACCGTGTGGCGCGATGTGCCATGCAATGTCAGAGAAGCTTTTCGTGCGTGAACCCAATCCTCAATTCGTTACCGAATCATCCCCTCCACGTCCTCTGCCACAGCGACGGGGGGCACAACCCGGAAACTGGGGCCACCGCAGCCGCCACCGTAATGCGGATGCGGGTGCACGGGGTTTGGCAGCCCATCGCATTCGGGGCTATTTTGGGCAGGCCGCGGGCAACGATAGCCTGACGGCCGAGATCCAGGGGTTCCAACTCTCCCTATTCTTGGTCTCCTCCCTCGCCTCCAGGGCCGATTTAGGCACCGTTGCAAAACTCGTTTTCACCAACGGACTGTGCACGAATCCTTGTTTCACTTGGGCCCCCCGGCTGTAGTAGTAGTAGTAGTAGTAGTAGTAGTAGTAGTAGTAGTAGTAGTAGTAGTAGTAGTAGTAGTAGTAGTAGTAGTAGTAGTAGTAGTAGTAGTAGTAGTAGTAGTAGTAGTAGTAGTAGTAGTAGTAGTAGTAGTAGTAGTAGTAGTAGTAGTAGTAGTAGTAGTAGTAGTAGTAGTAGTAGTAGTAGTAGTAGTAGTCGTAGTAGTAGTCGTAGTAGTAGTCGTAGTAGTCGTAGTAGTAGTAGTAGTCGTCGTCGTCGTCGTCGTCGTCGTCGTCGTCGTCGTCGTCGTCGTCGTCGTCGTCGTCGTCGTAGTTGTAGTAGTAGTCGTAGTCGTAGGGGTCGTGGTCGTCGTCGTCGTATTCGTGGTAGTAGTGGTCGTGGTAGTGGTCCTACTCCCAGTAGGAGGTCGCCCGGTGCGCGCACGCGGAGAGGTCAAGCAGCTGACGCGGCAGCGAGCACCAGGCGCAGCCGCAGCCCGAAGCGGCCCGACAGCGGGGGAGGGCGCCTGGGAACAGGAGGGCCAGTCGAAGCATCGGTAGGTCCTCCCCCTCCATCCCTCTCCCTTATCCTCGTTTTCCTCCTCCTCGTTCTCCTGTCTCGTCCTCGTCCTCCTTCCGTCCCCTCTCCTTCTAGATGAATCCCCCCTGTCACGCCCCCAAACCTGTCGGTAGGGCGGTCTGGACGCGTCGCCCGAGACTTTCTCACAATTGGTGGTTCCGAGGCAAAAAAATCGCAGTAATTAGATGGATGAAGGCCGGTTTCTATTCAAAATAGGGCTCTTGCTTCAGTGCCGCACATGGTTTTGAGTTTTTGTTATTGGAAAAAATGGAGCAGTTGGGCTCTCGACCTAGCGCCGCGCACATTCGTCTCACAAGTTTGAGGCAGTTTTTTTCATGATTGGGCATTCTCTCTCGCCTTGTGCCGCGCACGTTCGTCTTCAAAGCTTGCAGCAGTTACAAGATTAGAGGGCAGTTCCTTTTCAAAGTGAGGCTCTCGCCTCGGCGCCGCGCGCGTTCGTCTCTTTATTATTCAACACGTACACTGGTGGAGGATAGTTTCTTGTCAACATGAGGCTATTGCTTGAGATCGCGCCAGCATGAGAACGCAAGGCTGCAACGTGTGTCGCAGATGCGCGGGGACAGGGCGGTTCCTTTTCAAAATGGGGCTCGCTAAGGATTTCGACGTTCTTGACTAAAAATGTAAACTTGTACAGCACTCGACGGTAACCTGTCGGAGGTTGGGGGATGATATCAAAGGAGACACCCTGCTGGGAAATCGGTTTCGGTTCCGTGTTCATATTGTGCGTGCGGGCGAGGCGAAGTCGCGTGGGTGGGCACCCACACTGGCAAGGGCGAAACTGTCAAATGATACTGCCGCCCCCTGGTTGGCCGGCGGTTGCACGGGGGTGTCCCGAGGGTGTGATGGTGTCCCGATGGTGTTTCGATGGTGTCCACTTGGTGTCCCGATGGTGTCCCGATGGTATTCTCATGGTGGTCCGATGGTGGCCACATGGTGTCCCGATGGGTGCCCCCATGGTGTCCCCATGGTGTCCTGGTGGTGTCCCGATGGTTGTCCCGATGGTGTCGAGATGGTGTCTCAATGGTGTCCCGATGGTGTTGAGGTGGTGTCCCCATGGTGTCTCGATAGTGTCCCAATGGTGTCCCCATGGTGTTTTGACGGTGTCCGAATGGCGTCCCGATGGTGTCCACATGGTGTCCCCACGGTGTATGTCCCGATGGTTTTCCGAACGTGTCCAGATGGTGTCGCGATGGTGCTTGTGAGAACTATCGGTCGTGGGATCGATCGATAAATCGATGGATAGTGAAACCGATTGCTCGTGATAATGATATGATGACTGATTGGTGGTGAGGTCAATCGGGAGATCGAGAAATTCTTTACGCTTCGCGTATCCCCACCAGCCCATCTCACAACAGCAACTCTTGCGAAGCATGCCGACAGTCGTGTTTTTCAGGCGTGTGTCCGCTTGGCCCCGCATATCTCCCCTGTTACTCCTTCCTCCCGCCTCCTTGTACATCCTCCTTGTGGGGGGAGCGGGAGAAGGACGAGGCGGAGGAGGAGGGAGAGAAAGCGCTCCTCGTGGTTTGAGTCGTTTGGGGTTTCTCGTCCTGGTGTGAGTCGTTCGGGCCCTCTTCCTGGTGTGAGTCGTTCGGGCTCTTCGTGGTGTGAGTCGTTCGGGCTCTTCGTCCTGGTGTGAGTCGTTCGGGCTTCTCGTGGTGTGAGTTGTTCGGGCCCCTCGTCCTGGTGTGAGTCGTTCGGGCCCCTTCTCCTGGTGTGACTCGTTCGGGCTCCTCGTGGTGTGAGTCGTTCGGGGCCCTCGTCGTGGTGTGAGTCGTTCGGGCTCCTCGTGGTGTGAGTCGTTCGGGCGCCTCGTCCTGGTGTGAGTCGTTCGGGCCCCTCCTTCTGGTGTGAGTCGTTCGGGCTCTTCGTGGTGTGAGTCGTTCGGGCCCCTCGTCCTGGTGTGAGTCGTTCGGGCTCCTCGTGGGGCCTCTTGGGGGCCTCTTGGGGGCCTCTTGGAGCCTCTTGGGGCCTCTTGGGGGCCTCTTGGGGGCCTCTGGGGAGCCTCTTGGGGGCCTCTTGGGGCCTCTTGAGACCTCTTGGGGGCCTCTTGGGGGCCTCTTGGGGGCCTCTTGGGGGCCTCTTGGGGCCGCTTGGGAGCGGAGGCCTCTTGGGAGCCTCCTGGGGGCCTCTTGGGGCTATCTTGGGGCCAGCTGCGACCTCCTCAGAAGCGCAAATGAGAGCTGCCCCCTGAAGAGGACAAAATGAGCCCAAAACCTTCGTAAAATCAATGGTTTTGCTATGAAGGAAGATGAGCGCGGCCCCCTCAGGACGCCCAAATGGGGCCAACACCGTAGTAAAATCAATGATTTGTGCTTCAAAGACGAGCAGGGGGGCCAAACTCCCTCCCCCCGTCGGGGCCAGAATCCTCGTGAGGGTCGTCGTTTTTTGGCCCTCCCAGGAGTCGAACAAGACCCCCCTGACTACGCTCGGGACTCCCTCTCCAGGTCCAGGGGGAGGGGGTAGGGGGAGGGGTAAACCCCTCCCCGAAGGGGAAGAAGGGGGGTTGAGGAAAGAGAGAGCTCCCTAAACCACTCACGCCCAACTGGCTGGTGGGATTGATACGCAATCCGATTGTGAGACAGTGTGGTCGAATGTGAGACTGATAGAGCGATAGTGGGTCCGATAGGAAGGTCGACGAACAGTTAGTGAGATCGATAGAGATTTCGATATAGAAGTCGATAGCGGAGCTAATATTGAGATCGATGGTGGGAGCGACAGTGAGATCGATAAACATGTCGTGAGGTCGATAGTGAGATCGATGGTGAGATCGAGATCAAAACCGATCGTGAGGCCGAGTCAGGGGGATGTCAGAGGAGTGTTCACTGGTGTAGTGTCGGTGGGCTTGTCAGTGGCATGCCAGTGGCTTGTCAGCAGCATGCCAGTATCTGGTCAGTGGCCTGTCAGTGGCATGTCAGTGTGCTTGTCAGTGGGCTCGTCAGTTGCCCTCGCGCCCATCTTACTCGATACATGCTCGTACCGATAGGACCATCCTACGGGTGATAAGGAGTTTCGGGGGGGAGGGGGAGGCGGTCGATTTGCGATGGCTTTGGGCTCTTTGTCGGTTTCTTCAACTTTCCTATAATCGCGCGTTTCTGCCCATCTTCCTATCGACCTTTCTATCGAACTCTCTGTGCAGGACACCTATATATGTATATGTCTATATATCTTTATATCTATATATCGGTTCACGCACATATATTTATATATATATATATATATATATATGTGTGTATCTATGGATATATATATATATATATATATATCTGGCGCGCTGGCACCGCTTGTTATTTATCATGATGATAACATGAGCGAAACGATGTGACATGATGGTTTCCGCTACATGCTGGTGCACCATGGCGCGATACCAGCGTCACTTGGTGGCGTGCCCACTTTTATGCCGAACGCCCGCGGCGTCTGCTGCGTGCTGGTGCATGCCCTGACGGCTGCACACTCGAGAACAACACTTATATTGCAACCCCACTCCCGCTGCTAAACCCTGCGCGCCGTATCCCTCGTACTCGCTACCCGCTTCCCGCTGGCAGAGCCAGGCGACGAAGGAGGGCTAAGTGCCTCACTGGGGCTGCCGCGGCGGTGGCGACGTAGGCTCCGACTGCAAACGCCTCAACTTTGCTGGCCCGTCCCCCGACTAGTATGGCCCCTTCTTCACTAGTAGAGCTTCGTGCCAATCATTCGCGCGGCGACAAGTACACATAGTGGACATCGTTGTTGCCAACATCTATAATGTTGCCCGCGCCGCCCGAAAGCGGAGGAGCGCCATATGTGGATGGCGCCCATGGCGAGACTGCGGAATCCGGCGTATGCGGAATGCAGCAAATGCGGATTTGCAGTTCAAGTGCGACGGCCATGAGAACAAGATTGTCCGCGAATTCCGAAGAAGGCAGCCTATGCACCCACTTCCTGTACATAGCGTGGGTGCGCGCGGGGCGGCGCGCATCGAGGACAGCAAACGCCCGGTAAAGTCTAGCCATGAGATCCGGCCGCGTCGTGGCGGCGGCTGCGCCACTGCAGCTTTGCGTCCGCAGCGCTTCGGCGCGCACTCCCAAGTCGGTCCGCCGCGGGCTCGGAGCCGCGCGCGCCGGCATGCCCTTGGCGCGCACCTTCGCCAAGGACAAACACACGGGATGGTCACCTGGCAGAGCCTGGGTCAAAACCCCTTTCGCTGCTCTCCGCCAAGCCACCCGCCAAGCAGAGCCAGAAGCACGCGCCCGAGGTTCGACCTGCGTGCTGGCCGATATCCCACACCGTGAAGCTGGGCTGGTAGCGGTCGTGGGCGCGCTGCCTGTACTGTGTGAGCACGGACAAGCTTGCCAATTTCTGGCGGTCGATGGACTTTCTTGACTGACGAAGGTGAGGTGTCGTCGAGAGCGGACCTTGGTGTCCTGCTTGGCGCGCTGGTCGCCGATGCCGTTCAGGAGAAGTAGGAGCGCCTTGCCGAATGAGAATGACGCGCTCTCCAGCGCGCGGGCGATGTCATCAGCTTGGAAACCCATTTCCTACATGGTCTGCGCTGCGCAGTCTTTGCTCCGAGTGTGTTCGCGCTGCGTCGCGACGGCCTCGCCGGGCTGAGTCGGGGCTTGCGCCGCAGAGCACTTGGGGCCACGAGTGTCTGAGGGCGCCGATGAGTGGCAGAACCTGGTCACCGACGCGTCGCCCGCTTCATTCGGGCCCTCCGTTGGCTCGCGCTCTTTGGTCTCGAGTTTCTCCTCAGCGCGGGACGAGGCTACAAAGGCCCGCGGCCCGACGCTCGTGCGACCAGACTTCTCCGCGCAGTACGTCGCGACACTATCAGAGATTGGCGCCGCGCCGTTGCGCGAGTCGCCCGCTTGAGATGGTCTTCGTACTCTCGCGCGAGCGCCTCTGGCGTCTCGTCCCGCCGTGCCAGA